TTTCTTGAATTCCGGGTAAAGGATGTCTACGAGAATAATCTGTTTGCTTGAGCCTGTCATCTGTGCATAAATATAAGGTACCATCCTTTTCATATACAGCCAGTGAGAAATACAATGACTTCTGACTTTTATCAGTTCTCTGGCAAGATCTTCATTGTTGCTCTCTACCACAAGAGACTAACTGCAGTGAATGAATTCAAGAGGAGACAGACTTTTTCCAGGCTGTGGTGGTTTGACCCCCACAGAAATAAAAAATCCAATCTCCGAGCTTCCCCCACCTTCCCACAATTTTACCTCAACACCGAAGAGAAACTTTCAGGCAAGCACACCTCTGTAGGGGGAAGGGAAAATATATACATTTATTCTACACAAATAAATACTGTACAAGCTAAAAGCAACTATATATATACAATATTACACACTTCTATCATCCCTCTAAGCCCCTCCCTTAATTCAATCCAGGAGAAGCCCTCAGGCAGATAGGTAAGCAGTCTTTCTCTCATTGGAGTGTTCAGGAAAAAGGGTTTCCTCTAATCCACTCCCCACCAACCTCTAGCTGTTTACTGAAGTCTCTTCTTCCTTACGAAGTCCAAGAAAGTAGTTTTAGTCCATGGTCCTTAGTTCCGAGCCAATCTCTGCTCTGTGACTCTCTCTCTCTCTGTTCCATAGCTGCTGTAGTTTTCCATTTCGGTAGCCGTGTCTAAATCCAATGCAGGCACCGCCGAACCTGCCTCGGTCTGTCTCCAATTTCGCCTGGGGTTTTTTTCTCCCTGGCGCCGAGCTGCGTTCATCAACAGCCCGTCTCCTTTGGCTCAGCTTCAAAATACTAAGCCTTCCCTCCACTCCCACTTACAGTGAGAGGGCAAAAGCCCCCGCTCTGCTTTTTGCTACAAGTGTTCGGTCCAGTTTTAAACTGTCCCGAGCTCTGCAGTCTGGCTGGAAGGGGGGGGGGGAAGAGGGCTTGGCCTCCTCGCAAGGAGCTTGCCTCTCTCTCCCGCTTACCTTCAGCTGCTGTGAGTCCCTTCCCTCACAACAGACACTCATTCTTACATCCTGCCTTCAGCCCTAGCTTGGCCAGAGTTGTGGGGGCACGGGTCCCCCCCGAGTGGGGGGGCAGCCTCCGTCCACCCCTCGGCTATTCTCTCTCACACACTCACTCAGACACAGCAGCAGACTGACTCTGCCAACTCACTTCCGGTGGTTGTGATATCAAATTCCACAGGAGCGAAAAAGAACAGCTGCTATTGGTCCTCCTGGCCGGAATCTCAACTGTAATTAACCATTTCTAACTCAGGGCTCCCCAGAGGGGGGCTGCTTACCCCAGGACACAGGCATAACTAACTCCGTTACCCCCGTTGGGTCATGGTTGTTGAAAACTCCTGTAACGCATATCACGTTGGGGTCACCAAATATAGACAATGAAGAAATGAGGCTGCACACATCATGATTCAGTTTTTGGGATTCTCCACAGTGCTCTCTCTGCATTTCCCCTTTATTAGGGTTCTTTGGTAAACAGCACCTGGTGGTGTCATTCAGTTAACTAGAATTCCCAGGACTTCTTGCAAACTCAATGTTTTGATTCACACACTCCTTCTCAGCTCCAAGGCTGAAACACTCCCTTTTGATTTTAATTAACTGAATGCAGGTACTGCTTGCTTAACTTGTTCCCACAACTAACATGAAAGCTTTTCTGGGCAAGCTTTTACCAATCTGATTAACATCAACTCTGAAGTATTTGGTAAAGAAGTCAGGGGATTCTTCATGCAGCATTTCTCTGACTACTCTCTAGTCGGCCTCTGTGGGGTGTTATAGAGAGTGACATCCCATAGCTCATGAAAGGCTTTGTGACGTGGTTTGAAGGCCAGGTATTTTGGGTTGCTGAGTTTAAGAGTTACAGGCATGGTGAAAAAAGGGCGCTGTTTGTTTATTGAGGAGCTCTATCTCTTCCTAGACACTGAAGTCTTACTCCATACAACTCACCAGTACATAGTACAACACTGTAATATATGAGATGAAAATAGCACTGTACTTAAATTTCTTCTTCTTGGGCTCCCATTCAATGTTTATATATTTATTATCTCTTCAAAAGTTAAGAATTCTTTAGTGAATCTTATGTCTAGACTTTCAGAGATGGTTTCTTTTCCATTCATATCTCTCACAACACCTTTGCTCCTGGACCCCATAATGCTGCTATTTTCCTTCATTAGATTATTAACATATATTCATATTTTTAAAAAAAACTTAGCAGTTCCCTCCTAATGTCCTGGAGCATCTACATTAGGAATTATAATATTATTATTCCCTGTGGTGCCTTGTTGATGTACCATATACTTCTGCTTTCTTGATTGTTGAATACAGCATTCTTTTGAACAAATATTCCCTAGAGACTGAATATTGGGCAGATTTCCTTCACTGCCTGAAAATACATTGAATATGTGCTCTTTGTGATCACTGGCAATCAGGACAAATATTACTTCACTTTAGCCCAACCACTTATGTTTATGATCTGTGATTTGTTTCCTGAATCATGGCTAGGCTTCGCGAACGAAGATTTGGGATTTTGTTTCCTGAATATGATACTAACTTAACACCTCTTTTCAACATACCCTGTTATTACTTACACAGCACTGGACATGTCTTTCAGGAGAGATTTTCCACTGGCACTTTAACAGCAACTTTTGTCATTATTCTGCCTTTCATATAATTTAGGGGACAATTTTCATGAGTGACCATTTTAATGGTCTTTTTCCATTTCTATGCTGCTTCTGTGCAGCTAATGAACTTTGCTTTAGCAATGTATATTCTTTGATGATTTTGATATCCTAAGTTTCATCCTTTTTCAAAACTGAAAGGATGCTCACTGAGTTCATACTGTTTCAGTACTACAGGCTTTGGATCTGTTTCATTTCTCAACAGAAGTTCTTCGACTACAAGTAAAAACAGTTTTAGGTTTATGTTTCCTATGATGCAATTACACAAAAAGGACGGGAGAAAAGAAGCCAATAGTATCGTAGCATTCTAAAATGCTTTTTCTCTGATGCAAAGTTTGCTTTTTGAAGGTCTGCTGTTTGTTACAGGAAATGTAACCAAATCTTACAGACTCCCTTAAGCTGTAGTTCTTGTAATTGCTTCAACTGATTTCTGATACAACTCAGTGATGTGGTTTTCAGCATAATTTGTCTTCAAAACCTCACATGAGGGAATATTATATCATACCTCCAGCCCAGTGAATCCTAGGCTGACAGCTGGGACTGCACTTTCTACAGCTTCTATCTTGAAATAATCTTTTTGTGATTCATTTTCACTTCAGTATTTCAGCATATTAAAACATTTTGTATGTCTGTATGTTTGTAATCATCAATTTACCTTATAATTCTGAAATCTTTCTTTTCTATTGATGTCAGACTGTGAATCTGAAGAATTGTATTGGGTTTGCGTGGCAAAGTTTTGGTAGCAGGGGGGCTTCCGTGAGAAGCTGCTAGAAGCATCCTCTATGTCTGATAAAGCCAGTGCCAGCTGGCTCCAAGACAGACCTGCTGCTGGCTAAGGCTGAGCCAATCAGCCATGGTGGTAGCACCTCTGGGACAACATATTTAAGAAGGTAAAGAAGTTATTGCGCAAAAGCAATTGCAGCCAGAGAAGAGAGGAGTGAGAGCATGTGAGAGGAACAACTATGCAGACACCAAGGTCAGTGCAGAAGGAAGGGGAGGAGGTGCTCCAGGCACCAGAGCAGATTCCCCTGCAGCCTGTGGTGCAGACCATGGTGAAGCAGGCTGTCCCCCTGCAGCCCATGGAGATCCACAGGGAAGCAGAGATCCACCTGCAGCCTGTGGGGGATCCCAGGCTGAAGCAGATGGATGTGCCCGAAGGAGGTTGTGACCCCATGGGAAGCCCACACTGGAACAGGCTCCTGGCAGGATCTGTGGACAGGTGGAGAGAGGAGCCCATGCTGGAGCAGGTTTGCTGATATGACTTGTGACGTCATGGGGGACCCACACTAGAGCAGCTCATGAAGAACTGGATCTAAAAGAAAAATCATAGATATGGGGATAAGGTTTGAGTTACATAAACAAGAAAGAAAATACAACATTTAAATGTCTTCTAGGAAAAAAAAAAGGCCAAAACAAGGACAGATCCATTCGTAGCAAAAAACACTGCCAGGTGAGGCTGCAAGCAACAAAAGGTGGGGAAAGCAGGGAGGGAATGGAGACAGGCCACACACCAAACCAGATCACAAAGAGAAACGAACATGGCCGAAGGGGGGGGGGAGGAGAAGGGGCGGGGGGAGGAAAAGAGGAGGGGAGGCGAAGAAGAGGCGCGGGCTTTACCTTGCACACCAGCTCAACCACACAAATAAATTTACTTTGTGGAGCACAGCATGCTTACTAGAGTCCATCACACTATACAAGTGGGGCAACCTCCACTCCCCATTTCATACCTTTAACTCCTTCCGCCGTGGAGGCTCCACCACTCCAGATTTTGCCGCCGCGGAGGGCGCACTCTCCAGACCCAAGCAGCGGCAGCGCGGTGTGCCTCACCTTCCTTCCGGCCGCCATCTCGTTCTACCCCGTGTGTTGTGCTCCGTCCTCGTCCCGCGCCCACAACCCTCACCTTTCCCACGCTCTGGCGCCGCTGCTTCCGCCCTAAGAAGGTACAAAGGAGACGGTGGGGAGGGACTAGGGTGGAATTTCTTGCGCGACCGAGGGCCGTGGGTCAGTGGGCGGCCGTGGTTGGGGGAAGGGAAAACAAGGCAAGGCAGTTACGGGCAGGGCTTGAGGGTAGCTGAGCTGAGCTTCGGTGGCACTGTGCGTGAGCAGACAGCCCCCTCCCCCCCCGCCCCAGCAGGACTTGGACGTCCTCCCGCCTGCGGTGTGTGTGGGGAGAGGGGTAGGTGCAGAGCCACTTGTGCCCACCTACCTTAGTGTCGGGCCTGGGTTGTTGTGGCCTGTGCCGCCGGGTGCTTCCTGACCTGTTTTCCATGGGTGCTCTTGTTTCCACAGATGAAAGAAACGATCATGAACCAAGAAAAGCTTGCCAAGCTCCAGGCCCAAGTGCGCATTGGTGGCAAGGTAGGAATTGTCTCCCATCCCTTCCCTCGGGAATGTGAGTCACTGTCCATATGTGGGGCCATGGATATGGGATCCTGAAAACTCGGGTGGGGAGCAACCCTAAGGACTCTTGGCTTGGCTGGACTGTCTTTGGGGGAAGCTGCACTGCTGTAAGGGTCTCTAGTCAGTTCAGTAGAAGCAGAATGTAGGAGGAGTTGAACCTGCAGCCTTTTCCGTTTGGATTTGTTATATTATAGCTGACTTGTAGCCTATATTCTTGTATAGACTATATTAAAAGGCCCTTGGGACAGGACAACCCTAGATGTATGTAAAAACCAGGGAACGAGATGTTGTAGAGCAGCACCGCAGAAAGGGACCTGGGGGGTCCTGGTCAGTGGCAAGTTGAATATGAGTCAGCAGTGCCCTGGCAGCCAGGAGGGCCAACCGTGTCCTGGGGTGCATCAGGGAAAACATCGCCAGCTGGTCAAAAGCGGTGATTGTTCTGCTCTGCTCTGCACTGGTGCAGCCTCACCTTGAATATTGTGTGCAGTTTTGGTCACCGCAATATAAGAAAGATATTAAGCTATTAGAGTGTGTCCAAACAAAGGCAATGAAGATGGTGAAGGGTCTAGAGGGGAAGCCATATGAGGAGTGGCTGAGGTCACTTGATTTGTTCAGCCTAGAGAAGGGGAGACCTCAGAACTTCCTCACGAGGGGAAGAGGAGGTGCAGACACAGATCTCTTCTCTGTGGTGACCAGTGACAGGACCCAAGGGAATGGCCTGAAGTTGTGTCAGGAGAGGTTTAGGTTAGATATTAAGAAAAGGTTCTTCCCCCAGAGGGTGGTTGGGCACTGGAACAGGCTCCCCAGGGCAGTGGTCACAGCACCAAGCCTGCCAGAGTTCAAGAAACATTTGGACAATGCTCTTGGCACATGGTGTGATTCTTGGGGTTATCCTGTGCAGGGCCAGGAGTTGGACTCGATGATCTTTGTGGGTCCCTTCCAACTCAGGATATTCTATGATTCTATGATTAGGATTTGAAGTAAGTAGATCTTACAGCACATGATCTTGGGTATAGTTTTCATAATAGAGTGCTATGTTCCAAATTCTTATCACAAATCTTTAAGATGCCCATGGCTGTTTTCTTGCTTTTTAGAACAAAACTGGAGTTTCTGTACTTGTCATACTCTTATCATTGTAGAATAACATGCTCAGAAGACCTTTTTAATTTATTATAACATCTGAATGTATGTAGCTTTGTGATTACTTATTACTGAAAATAAAAAAGTATGTTGAGTATAGTTGTATGCTAGTAAACATGTTAATTACAATTTCAGTTTTAATACAAGAATTTGTTAGTAAATTATTTTTTTTTTACACCTGAGGAAACATGCACACAATATTTTAGGATACAAGCTGTTCTAAAATAAGATAATGGGAGCAGTGGTAAGGGACTCTGGAGTGCAGGTAGTTTTCTCATCAATCCTGGTCAAAATGAAGGAATTTGAAAGGGTCAGTCGAATCTGGTGAATCAGCAAATGGTTACGGGACTGGTGCCACAGCCAGGGGTTTGACTACTTAGACCATGGGACTTGTCTTGAGAAACCTGGTCTGCTGGGGGCTGATAGGTCCATCTGTCAGAGAAGGGGAAGAGCGTCTTCAGTCATAGGCTTGCCAAGCTGGTGAAGAAGGCTTGAAACTAAAGTTGCCAAGAGGGGAAACTCAGTCCATCCCACTCCTACTAGTTAGATGCCAGGGCCAACGAGAGATGCCCAGAGCCTGGAGAGGGATCACAGGTCAACAGGAGAGCACCAAGGGAAGAGCAGCACCAAGGAATTCCAGCCACTCCAGTCAGTAAGTCAGCTTCATTGGGGGCCCAACTTAAATGCCTCTATGCAAGCACACGCAGCATGAGGAATAAACAGGACATGCAGGGCTATAACCTTATTGGCATCACAGAGACATGGTGGGAGGCTCCTATGACTGGAGTGTTGGAATGGATGGATATAGGCTCTTTAGGAAGGACAGGCAGGGGAGACGAGGTGTTGCACTCTGTCAGCGACCAGTTGGAGTGCATGGAGCTCCCCCTGGGGATGGATGAGGAGCTGACTGAGAGTTTATGGGTCAGGATTAAAGGGAGGGCAGGGACAAGTGATGTTATAGTGGGGGTCTGCTACAGGCCACATGACCAGGAAGACTGAGTGGATGAGGCCCTGTACAGACAGATAGAAGCGGCCTCACATTCAGAAGCCTCGGTCCTCATGGGAGAGTACAGCCACCCTGATATCTGTTGGAGGGACAAGACAGCAGAGCACAATCAATCCAGGAGGTTCCTGGAATGCATTGATGACAACTTCCTTCTCCAAATGATAGAGGAGCCAATGAGAAGGGATGCTGTGCTGGACCTTATTCTCACCAACAAGGAGGGGCTGGTGGGGAATGTGAAGTTCAAGGGCTGCCTGGGCTGCAGTAACCATGAAATGGTGGAGTTTGAGATCCTTAGGGCAGCGAGGAGTGCACGCAGCAAGCTCACTACCCTGGACTTCAGGAGAGCAGACTTTCACCTCTTCAGGGATCTGCTTGGTAGAGTAGCATGGCATGAAGCCCTGGAAGGAAGAGAGGCCCAAGAAAGTTGGTTGATATCCTCCAAACTCAGGAGCAATGCATTCCAACAAAGAGGAAGTCAGGCAAAAATGCTGGGAGGCCTGCATGGATGAACAAGGAGGTCCTGGACAAGCCCAAACACAAAAAGGAAGCCTACAGAGGGTGGAAACAAGGACAGGTAGCCTGGGAGGAATACATAGAGATTGTCTAAGCAGCCACAGATCAGGTTGGTAAAGCTAAAGCCCTGATAGAATTAAATCTGGCCAGGGATGTCAAGGGTAACAAGAAAATCTTCTATAGGTACATCAGTGATAAAAGGAAGACTAGGGAAAATGTGTGCCCTTTCTGGAAGGAAACGGAAGACCTGTTTGCCCAGGACATGGAGAAGGTTGAGGTACTCAATGACTTTTTTGCCTCAGTCTTCACCAGCAAGTGCTCCAGCCACACCACACGAGTTGTAGAAGGTGAATGCAAGGATTGGGAAAACGAAGAATTACCAGCTGTAGGAGAAGACCAGGTTTAAGACCATTTAAGGAACCTGAGGGTACACAAGTCCCTGGGGCTTGATGAGATGCATCCATGGATTCTGAGGGGCCTGGCAGAGAAAGTAGCTAAGCCACTATCCATCATATTTGAGCAGTTGTGACAGTCCAGTGAAGTTTCCACTGACTGGAAAAGGGGAAACATAACCCATGTTTTTGCAAAGGGAAATAAGGAAGACGTAAAGAATTTCAGGCCCACCAGTCTCACCTTGGTGCCCAGCAATATCATGGAACAGATCCTCCTGGTAACTATGCTAAGGCACATGGAAAATAAGGAGGTGATTGGTGACAGCCAACATGGCTTCACTAAAGGCAAATCATGCCTGACAAATTCGATGTCCTTCTACAATGGGGTTACAGTGTTGGTGGATGAGGGAAGAGTGACTGATATCATCTACCTGGACTTGTGCAAAGCATTTGACACTGTCCCGCATGACATCCTTGTCTCTAAACTGGAGAGGCATGGATTTGACAGATGGACCACTCAGTAGATAAGGAATCAGCTGGATGGTCATACTCAGAGTTGTGGTCAACAGCTCAACATCCAAGGGGACAGCAGTGATGAGTGGCATCCTCAGGGGTCTGGTATTGGGACCAGCACTGTTTAACATCTTTATTGGCAACATGGACAGTGGGATTGAGTGCACCCTTAGCAAGTTTGCCGACACCAAGCTGTGTGATGCAGTCAACATGCTGGAGGGAAGGCATGCCATCCAAAAGGACCTGGACAAAATTGACAAGTGGGCCCATGAGAACCCCATGAAGTTCAACAAGGCCAAGTGCAAGGTCCTGTGCCTGGGTCAGGGCAATCCCAAGCACAAGTACAGGCTGGGTGGAGAATGGATAGAGACTAGCCCTGGGGAGAAAGACTTGGGGGTGTTTGTGGACGAAAAGCTCAACATGAGCCGGCAATGTGCACTTGCAGCCCAGAAAGCCAACTGTGTCCTGGGCTGCATCAAAAGAAGTGTGACCAGTAGGTCGAGGGAGGTGATTCTGCCCCTCTGCTCCACTCTTGTGAGACCCCACCTGGAGTACTGCATCCAGCTCTTGGAGCCCCCAACATAAGAAGGAAATGAACCTGTTGGAGTGAGTCCAGAGGAGGCCACTAAGTTGATCACAAGGCTGGAGCACCTCTGCTATGGAGACAGACTGAGAGAGCTGAGGCTGTTCAGCCTGGAGAAGAGAAGGCTTCGGGAGACCTTAGAGCCCCTTCCAGTGCCTAAAGGGGCTCCAAGAGAGCTGGAGAGGGACTTTTTACAAAGGTACGGAGTGATTGGACAAGGTGCAACAGTTTTAAACTGAAAGAAGGTAGATTTAGGTTAGACATAAGAAACTTTTTACTCAGAGGGTGGTGAAGCACTGGCACAGGTTGCCCAGAGAATCTGTGGCTGCCCTATCCCTGGAAGTGTTCAAGGCCAGGTCGGATGGACCTTTGAGCAACCTGGTCTAGTGGAAGGTGTCCCTGCTCACAGCAGGGGTTTGAAACTAAATGATCTTTGAGGTCCCTTCCAACTCAAATCAGTCTGTGATTCTATTCAACAGAACTCGTTACAGTTTCCAATATCTTTTATTCCTGTGTTGAAGCTTTTTGCCTTTACATGGATAGTTAGGCAGCCTTAAATCAGGATTAATCAAGTAATTAATTGGCTTTGGGATTTTGTATATTCTTTGTATGGTTTACTAGTTAAGCAGAGAACTGCTGTATTATATTGATGATTATGTGCATGTTACCAGCATGTGTGCAATTGACTATAGAGGGTTTTAACCTTTATCACTGTACTGTTTTGGGTTTTTTTCTTCCTTGTGAGAAAAGGTTGCACATTGCCTCCACTGGAAGATTTTCATAACACTGCAAGCCTATAGATCTTAAAAACAAGATAAATATTATATTTAGGTGGAAGGCTATTGTAGTATTTCATTATGTAAAATTTGATGCTTTTGTGTAGGGTATCGATACAGCTAAATGTCATGTCGTTTCTTCCAAACCTTTTTCCTGGAGAAATCTAGAACTCTGTGTCTGTAGGGGAGCTTAACCTTTGCTTGTTTTGCTTTCTAAAAAGGAGTGGTCTAGAATATTATGTAGAAGTTTTTTTTTAAAGAATATATTTCATAAAATCATTTAGGTTTGAAAATACCTCTAAGATCATGTCCATAAAATATTTCGGGAAAATAAGTGTTCTTCAAATTTTGCACAAATGTGTAAGTCCATCAGATGGAGATGTGTTTTGGGTTTTGCGTTTTCTCATTTTCATTTGTTAATTATACTTTGATAGCTTTATGGTCTCTGACTCTTTATTGTCAAAATTTGACTACAACTTAAGAAGGATTGTCTAAGGAAAAATTAATGGGCTTCAGAAATTACTGAAAACTGCTCAGAAGTGTTTCCCCTGTGGTATTAGAGGCAAACTCTGACTTTTTCAGTATCAGAATCAGCTGTTCAGAGTTATTCTTATTTGACTGATATGAGAACCAAATATATGCAGGTAACCAGGGTGACCACCAAACCACAGAAGCAGGAACGCAGGCACTGTTACGCTTAGTCTATCCTAGCAGGTAGAAGGCCTGCTGTTTGCACCAATTTATCAAGGGCCTGTGCTGTGATCTCCTCTGTGCTTTGATCTCTCTCCCAACAGCTCAAGCATGTCCGTGAGAGTGCCTCCAAGTCTCTGTAAACACCTATGTTATCTCTACACAAAAATTCTACTTCTCAAAACAGACAGAGAATAAACAGCAGTAGGCATAATATATTGTTTCCCACACTGATATTCTTCAGTCCAGCTGCAAGGTCACTTTGAGCGAATCTATCATCCTCCTCGCCAAATCTTCCACTTTTAACCCTTTCCTCCCAACAACTGAGAAACAACATAGCCAAACTTCTACTCATGTCATGCACCAATTTTGGATTTTTAAAGCTGTTTTAATATGCCTCAGTCTTACGTTGTTCCAGTAACCTTTAAGCAATCTTGAAGCTCATTTCTTTAAACTCTGATGATGTTATGTAAGTTGCAACCTGAAAAGACAGTTGCAAACTGTGGCCAGAACTTCTGCTTTTCACAACTGTTTTATAACTTCTTGGAACAAAAATGTCAGAAGTAGAGCAACCATGAAAGTTTATCCTAATTCCAGGTAACTTGTTCCACCTAAACAGTTAACATTCACAGCTCTAGATAATCCCTAACATAAACCAGATGCAACTCTGTTTTGTCTTGACACTGTAAAGGATAAGGGATAGAAAAAAAAAAGAGACTGTTTGTATTTACTGGGATGATAGACTAAAATGTGTTGAGTGTTTTTCACTAGGAAGCTGATGGTTAGGGGCATTCCAGCAGAGTTTTTCCTGACCGTTGGAGACTTTTTTTTTTTATTTCCATTTACTACAATGGTATAAATCACTGGAGTGCAGACATGGCCTGTCACTAGACTGATCATCATTAGTATTGCTGTAGCAGTTACGCTTGCACACGCCTCCTGCTGTGCAGCACATACACTTTCAGGAAGTATGCTGCTCTGTCTGACAATGAATGTATAACCAGGTGAATTAAGAATTCAGTCACTTGGAACTTTAAAGATCAAAGATATTGTTAGGGGTTAGTCCTAGGAATGATGTCTGAATAGATCTTTCTGTAGAGGTTGATTTGTCACCAAATTAAGCTAGCAACTCTTTAGGCATACAGGACTGTAGAGCATGTCAGTCTTCAGGGGATGATCAGTTTTCAGTTTTATGCCTATGGTAACAGACAAGGATAAACTTGCAGTTTTTCTTTTCTAAGTAGGATGTTGCAGAATCCCCACGAGACTTGGAAAATAAAGCTTCTCTGGTGCATTGCTTCCTAAAATCTCTCACTTCTCACAAGCGTGCAAAGCTTGCTTTATTTATAGCAAGGGAAAGATTGCTGCAGTGCAGTTGAAGGGGTGGGGTTGTGTGTGCTGTAACACAGAAGTAGAAATTTGTTTACAAAGTTGATTTGTAGATGGCTGCAGAGTAGTTATATGGCCACGAGGATTAGAGTTTGCAAAGAACTAATTAAATATTAATTCATAACTTTTTTTTTTTGCAAAGGGTACTGCCCGCAGAAAGAAAAAGGTTGTCCACAGAACAGCTACAGCAGATGACAAGAAACTTCAGTTTTCTTTAAAGAAGCTGGGTGTCAACAATATATCTGGAATTGAAGAGGTAATTGCTTCAAAGGGAAAAATGCTTTTCTATATAGAAATATAAAATGTATTAAACTTAATTTCCTGATAATTAACATCTTAAACTTGCCTGTAAATTATCTATAGATGTTTAATTGAGCTTTAGGAACTTTAGCTAGTTTCCTGTTAAATTGAAAAATCATTCTAAACTGCTTGAAATACTGGGGGGGGGCTGGTGTGTTCTTTTTTTTCTTGCAGGTAAATATGTTTACCAACCAAGGAGCAGTCATTCACTTCAATAACCCTAAAGTTCAGGCATTCCTGGCTGCTAACACTTTCACTATCACTGGCCACGCTGAGACAAAGCAGCTGACAGAAATGCTTCCTAGCATCTTAAATCAGCTTGGAGCTGACAGTTTGACTAGCCTGAGGAGATTGGCAGCTCTACCCAAGCAACGTAAGTTAAAACTTAAATGCATTTCCTGCTGGCAGCTGACATGTGGCTTATTTGTATATAGCTGCAGTGAAATTCAGTGCACTCTTACTGTCTGCAAACATATTATAAAATGCTTCTAAAGAAATGAGACTCTTAAATCTTATTTATAGCTCAAATCCAACAGTGAATATAACAGAATAAAGCAGAGGCACCTGTCTCTTAGCATATCTTGCAGCTGGTCTAGGACTAGAAAGTTGTAGCCAGACTTGATTTCATGGTGTGGCTACCATATTTTGGCATACCTAGTTCGTTAAAGCTAGATAGAGTTACTCTGGGAGTTAGGTTTTAAAAAAAGGTATGTCTGTTTTGACACTTTCAATGGAAACATAAACAATAGGGAGAGGGACTTGAGGACAGATCTTGCTACCGCTTTGATCCCTCACAGGTGTGGTGAAGGTATTTCTTCTTGCATGGGCTTTTTGATAGCTAAGAGGAAATTATACAGTATTTGTAAGGAAATATATTATAATATCTGTGTGTGTATCTAGCTTATAATGACCATTAAGCTAGATACACCAACTTCATATTCTATCCTTAAATTGGTAAAAGAACCTGAACACTTGTTCTCCCTAAAACTATGTAAGAAAAGTAGAGGAGGGACTCAAGTGTATGTGGTGTTTGGAAAAGGTGCTGCTGCTACAGGGTAAGAATTGGGAGTGAAAGACATGCTTGTTGACACTGGGACCATTCTTCATGTCCTGCATGTAGGGTCTTCCTACTTCTTTTCTACTTCTTGTGGTAGTTATAAAGTTGATTGTTACATTTTTTCTTTCTGTGCTTTGCTGCCAGCAAAGATAGACTCTATTTCAATTCCTGAAGCTGATGATGCTTCTTGTCTGTCAACTTCCCACTGAAAAAAATTCTGCTAGAAGTAGCCTTCAGGAGGTGAACTGCTTTCCCAATGAAGCTCAGGTCCCTCCCTCCTAGTGTCAGCTGTGTGGCTTCCTAATGGTAGAAGTGGGGCTTGAAAGAAAGAAAACTTGAAGGATTTAAAATGAACCTTTTAAGATCTCTCTTCTTATAACAAGGGAGGAGCTATTTATCAGGGAGCGTATAATAGGACAAGGGGTAACAGTTTTAAACTGACAGAGGGCAAGTTTGGATTTGATATTAGGAAGAAATTCTTTACTCAGAGAGTGGTGAGGCACTGGCATGGGTTGCCCAGAGAAGCTGTGGCTGCCCCATCCCTGGAAGTGTCCAAGGCCAGGTTGGACAGGGCTTGGAGCAACCTGGTCTAGTGGAAGGTGTCACTGCCCATGGCAGGGGGGTGGAACGAGATGGTCTTTAAGGTCTCTTCCAACTCAAACTATTCTGTGTTTCTGTGATTCATGTTAATTCCTCCCTGTTGTTTTGGATGCCACCTGTTCCAGGGACAAATGCTTGTAACAGACGCCTCATATCAATGTGCCTGCCACTGTTCTGCTACAAGTGTTTGATATTTTTTCACTTCATCACATTTTTAGATGTGGAATAATACTTTTCCAAATAATAGCTTTGCTATAGTTATGACAAAGTTGTACTTGTGTCTGGGAAAGGGTGGGCTGTGTCTGACTTGACAAGCATGTTTGTCATGGCGCAAGTCATTGCTCTTGGGAAAGAGTGGAGAAACTTAAGTCATGCAACTCCTGTGGTTTGAATTAAGGCTAACGTAAGCACAACATAAATATCTCCTAGCTCTTTTATCTCTGAAGGCAGTTTTCCAAGGGATCCCACGCAATAGCGCTCTAAACAGCTGAAAGTTTGCCTCTGAGGTTTAGGGTCCTGACTACTGCTTTACCCATCCAGTACCCCTCAAAATTGAGAATTCTACCCAGGCATGATGGCTGTAGCCCAGGCTGCCTCCAATCTTGACCTCTCCAATAAGTTAGAAAGACTTTAGAATCATAGAATCATCAGTGTTGGAAGAGACCTTTAAGATCAAGTCCAACCGTCAACCCAGCACTACCACTGGTAATCACTAAACCATATCACCCAGTGCCAGATCCAGATGCCTCAAACACCCCCAGGGATGGTGACTCAACCACCTCCCTGGGCAACCTATTCCAATGCCTGACCACCCTAATAGTGAAAATTTTTTTTCTAATATCTAATCTGAATCTCTCCTGCCTCAGCTTAAGGCCATAAGTTCTTGTGCATTAGTGAGCAACAGGTCCAGCAGTGCCTCTCCTCTGGTTGGGCTCTCCATCACCTGTACTAGGAAGTTGTCCTCAAAGCCACTTTATTTGGTCTGGCTGACGTTGAGTTAACTTTCCCCATAGCAGCCCTGTGCTGTGTATCGGTAGCTAGAAAGGTGTTGATAACATACTAGTGCTTTTGCATCAAGGCTGTCTCTCCAACAATATCCCCCTTCACCCCCCCAAGGACAGTAGGTTGGTGGTGGGCAAATATCTTTGGAAGGGACATAGCCAGGACAGCTGACCCCAGCTGACCAAAGGGATATTAACATCTCCTCAGCAATAAAAGTTAAAAGAAAGGAGGAGGAAGGGGAGGAGGGCATTCATTATAAAGGTGTTTGTCTTCTGAAGCAACTGCTACACATACTGAAGCCCTTGTCCCATGAAGTGGTCAGACATCACATGTTGATGGGAAGTAGAGAATAAATCTTTTGTCTTCCTTTGTATCCGTGTGTGGCCTTTGCTTTTGCTTTATTAACCTGCCTTTATCTTGACCCATGAGTTTTGTTCTTATTTTCTCCCCTCTCTGGTCCTGCTGAAGAGGGGAGTGATAGAGCAGCTTGGTGGGTACCTGGTATCTGGCCAAGGTCAACTCACTACAGCACTCCACTAGTTTGCTGGACTGCTTGCAATTCACTGTGCCATTTTTCCAACAGATATCTGTGTGGTTGAAGTCCCCTATCAGGATCAGGGCATGTGAGCATAATGCTTCCTGCAGTTGAACCACAAAGTTTCCTTTCTTGGCTTGGTCTCTAATTTTCACTCAAGCTCTTAACCTGCATATTGCTGTTCTTCAAAGATAGCTTCATGCAATCAATCCTGGTTTTGGCATAGATGGCAACTCCCCCACCTCTCCTTCCTTGTCTGTACTTTCTGAATGGTTTAGCCATCAATTGCAACGCTCCAATCATGCGATTCATGCCACCAAGTTTCTGTGATAGCAGTCAGGTTGTGGTTTTCCATCTGGGCAGCTGCTTCCAGCTCGTCCTGTTTGTTTCTCATACTGCATACATTGGTATAGAGGCACTTTAGCTGGGCTATCAGCCACATCCCCTTTTTAGAGGAGTTCACCCTAATTCCCTTGAGGTGATTCACAGGTGTTTCCTGTTGCTTCCTAATGCCTTGGCAACCCTGGCTCTTTTCAAGTGCTTAGAACACTATGTCCTTCCCCCAGTAAATCTAGTTTAAAGCTCTGTTTATAAATCCAGACAGCTTATTGTCCAGGACACTCTTGCCCTGCTTGGTCACTTGATCCCTGTGAAAATTCATTTATTCCCCTTCTGTGGCTGCCTTACACCACTTAATGTTAGGCATCAGGAGATGGTGCAGTTCTTTCTGGTTTAGGGAAGTTTCAGAATAGTGTGAAACCATCATAGCTAGCTCATGCAGCCAGGGTTTGTCAGTAGTGTATGTTGACGATGGCATTTGGATAAACAATCCCCATGCACATCTGCAGCATTTCATGCTTCAGTAATTCTACTCAAGAGTGATGGTCTTGAAGATTTTGTGTATGTTTTTACTGTTGGTAGAAGCTGGAGTAGCCTACAGGTCCCAGGATTCACTGAGTCCTCTTCTTCCACCAGCATACAAGATTCAGACTTCCTTAGATATGACCTCATGCACATCTACACTGGTGTCTAGGCTGACCTCTGTCAGGAACTGTAGACTAGATAGATTATCATTCTGCTTTAGTGTGTCAACCTGCTCACATTTGTAGAATAGACCCTCTACTCATTATATTTGCTCCTCATATTTAGCATTTTAATTATTTGTACCTTTTAAATTAAGCACTGATTTGTTTCAAAACATGGAATGGCTTTTACCTTTTTTTTTTCAGTTATGTCCCACTTCTGTAGCTCTCTAGTCTCATTAGGAAATTTAGTATATTTGATAAAATATGTCAACAGGCTGTAAGTTGAATTCCAAGGGGGACTTGAGCCTTCAAAATATATCTATTAATGCACAAAAAATGCACCAGTATATTTTCTAGAAGGATGTGGATCTACTTGAAACCTTGTCATTTTATGTGAGCAGAAAAGCTTAACACTTTTAAACAAAAGCCTTTTTGGCAATGGCAATGTTAATGATAGACATCATACCACAGATGCAGAGTAGCTATGCAAGCTGCTTTTGTGGTGCATTTTTGGAAGCAACTGCTCTTTGAGCCCTTTAGGCTATAATGCTTAAGATAAGCTAGGTGTATCTTAATGGCAACAAATGCAGTTGCAGGGATTTATAGGGTTTAGCCAGAGCTTGCCCATTTTTCAACTGTTCTAGAAGCCTGGCTAAATGCTGGCACATCAAACTTGCCTGCAGATTGCTGTGGTGGGTTGACTTTGGCTGGCTGCCAGGTGCCTACCAAGCCACGCTCTCGATCCCGTTCATCAACAAGACAGGGGGAGAAGATACAATAAAAGACCTGTGGGTTGAGATAAGGACAGGGAGAGATCACTCACCAGTTATCATCATGGGCAAAACAGACTCGACTTGGGGAAATTAATTGAATGTATTACCAATCACATTGGAGTAGGATAATGATAAATAAGAACAAATCTTAAAACCCTTTCTCCCCACCCCTCCCTTCTTCCTGGGCTTAACTTCACTCCCAACTGTTCTACCTCCTACCCCTGAGTGGCATAGGGGAACGGGGAATGGGAGTTGTGGTCAGTTCTCAACGCTATGTCTCTACCACTCCTTTCTCCTCATTCTTCCCCTGCTCCAAAGTGGGTCCCTTTCCATGGGGTGCAGTCTTTCAGGAACAGGCTGCTTCAGCATGATTTCCCCACA